TTTGTAATTCCCAAAACAATTTACATTCACAAAAATTAGGTTTTGAACAACAGCAATAATGAGGACACTACACGTTCAAGAAAATAAACGAGTGAACCTTTATAACATTTAATCTGATACAGTTTTTTTGGTTACAATGAAAGACTAACAATAACAGCGTAAATACAAATTAAATCATAACAATTATTCCCTAACCAAAGACAAATAGGTTAATTTTTCCCGACTTACACGAGTTAACAAAATCAAACCAAAATCCTCAACTGACCACAAAATATAGCAAAGACACTACCGAGTACTAAAAACCAGTGTAATTATTTTGTTTATTATCTATCAGAGTATGCGACATCTCAAGACGGGGGTTGTTGATAGTCTTTTTTTTCAAAGTTCTGGACAAACTTTTATATAAATCGGTTTCAAAGTTTATTTTATGATTTGCTCTTTCTAAATTAATTTCTTCATTATGATAATTAAACAACAACTAATTACCCATCATCCGCTACCGTCCCTATGTGGGTTCCATCAGGAGAAAAGGACAGTCCTCGTACCCATGTTCCATTTGCCCCCGATGCATAAATAAGTCTTGGAGGTGGGAAGAGATGACTATAGAGTAATTAAAAAAGAAATCATCATCATTAGTCTAGATTCTAGAGTTTGTAAAAATAAACATGTACTTGTGGGATGGTAAGACCTATAACGTGAAATTAACATAAAAATTAAAAGAATTTTCTGAGATTTATTTTAGAAAATTAACATAAATTTAACTTAATACACATTTCTATATTACACTATTGTTTATAATACTAAAGTTAAATTAGATATAATTCAAATTATAGAGTAAAATCTAAGACGTTGGACATAGAGGGAGTCGTTGCATTGATAAAAGTTAAATAACTTTGGAAAATAGAGATGATTTTAGTTTGAAAAAACAAAAAGAATTTTATACTAAATATTTCAAAATTTTCAACCTCTCCCTGCCACGTTATATAAAACTGACCACCTCCGATCTTCAATTAGTAAAAATTAATAATTTATAAATGTCACCGAATCTGAAAAAGACACACTTCAAACAGAGTATAATAACAATGGTACCTTTTATAATACTACAAGTTTTTATTTTTTTATTAATTTATGATATATGGTGAAATCACCGGCCATTTTCTATGCATGCTTACGTGCCAACAAAACCACATCAACATAATGACATCATGCCCCGGTCCACATTCTTGAAGGAAACCATTGCAGTCAATATTGTCTAAAGCATTAAAACTAATGTATAAAATTCATTTATGATCTCTTTTCAAAAAATATTCAGAGCCATTTCAAGTGGACTTCTACATAATTCAAGAACTTTGCTAAATCATTCCTCTCTCAGTACTAATACAGGAATTCTTATACGTCATATAGTAATATCCAAAGTAAACAAACATCCAGGAAAACCTATTAACTTATTACACTTCCCATGGCTTACAAACAATACAAGACCCCTTGTAACATGCATTACTCCAAAGACAGAGTGCCAATAGCCTCGAGGCATACCGTGACAGAATAAAAACTTACAAGCCACACAATGAAAGGAGCATACAGACCACACCAAGGAAAATCCTAGCTTTCGGACAATATATTTATGATTCCGTTAGCTTCAAAAACTTGACAGAAAAATTAATTGTACAGTTTTTATTCAACATTAAAACTTCTGTTTTTAAATGATTGTTTGATAAATGCCCAGTTTAGAATTTCATTGCTTACTTTTATCTTCAAGAGATAAATAACTCACCCAAAACATCTTAACTTCATTCCAGAATAGGAATTCCACAAAATAACCTGCGTGTCCCACGATGCTGTGGCTATAAGACTTCCATCAGGAGAAAACTCACAAGCTACAACATCGTACATGTGTCCATTCAGTCGAAGTTTCAGACTGTAGTCATTCATATCCCACACATAAACCTGCAAAAATAAAATTATAAATTTACCAACTAGCAGAGGCAAAACTGAAATTCAAAATATTTAAAATCATTTGATAAATATCACTTTCTCTCTCTCACACAAATAGGACTTGAATTGTTCCCAGATACTCCAGGGCAGAGAACCAAGTTCTCTAAACTCAGAATGCAACTGGATGAGCCGGCAAGATTGGCGAGTGCAGTTCCGTAGCATTCGTGCTATGAATCTCTAAAATAAGTTTGTACTCGTGTTTTTATCATGTATAATTACATCACTTTCTCCATCACAATACTAACTGTCAACAAATAAATTCAGTATTTGAGGAAAGTTAGAGTTGTTCAGAGGAGAAATTAAAGAGTAATAAGTGTTCGTACAATGTTACATTTTACTGTCCATGGCATTATATACAACTGTCTAGACTTTATCTTCACCAATTCCTCTCTCTCAACAATCACAAAACATGCAGCTCAGCGAGAGACTTTTCATTATTCTCAGTTCTAATTTACAAGTTACCTTTAAAACATTATAAGTAATCTGGTATGGTATTTCAATCTTATTAGGTAATAAGATTATTATATATACAAGTGAAAGTAGCCACAACTAGAGTATCAGTATGAAGCAGCCTAGGAGCTGCGAAAAGAGGATGGTGCAGTTGAGGGCCTGGAGCTCAACCATTACCTACAGAAACACACAAGATGCGAGGGTTTACAATGTACAAGAATGTAGTCACATGACAGCAATGAAACTTCTAATACATTTATAACTTAAGGAAAACAGAGCTGGTCGAGCGTAGGAACGAAAGACAAGTGAATAAACTCGGACAACTTTTCCCAATGTCATTAGGGCCACTGTTGCATAAAGAAAAGGTACCCGCTTTAATAATTTTTAAATACAAACACACACACACACACACACACACACACCTTGCTTTTTGTTCCTTCAGTAGAGCTTGTTTAAAGTTACGCTACTTCAAATTGAACTTGCTTCAAATAATACAAATCTATAACTTACAGATGTACACATTCCTACAGTTGCCAACATTCTGGCATCTGGAGACCAGGCACAAGAGTTTACAGATTTCCCATTCATCTTCAATGTTTTAAACATGTTTCCATCATCATTCAGATCCCAGAATTTGATAGTTGCATCCTGAGATACAGAGGCCAGGATGAGACTACCATTTGGGGCAAAAGCAAGATCTGTAACAACGCTCCTATGATCCATGAGCTCCAAAATTAAATGACCTGGAAATATAAAACAAAATATATATCTCACAAAAAGCTTATCACAGTTAACAGAGATACGGGTTTCCCCATTTAATCAGTAATCTAAACTTATCATTTCCAAAACTTTATTTTTTAGTTTATCTGCTTTTTAATTAGGCTTACAGAACAAATCCAAAAGTAATTTTCTAGTTAATTAAATACGGTACATTTTCTGGTCCCATTAATCATATTTATTCATGTTAAATATACTATCCAGTTAAACTCGATCAATGAAGTACAGGTATGACTGGAATAAAATCAAAGTTCGTTATTTGAACATTCTTAGCTTGTCTGTGTCATATGTTTAACAACACCTAACAAGTCAGCTTATATTCAGAGCATTGCACACAACCGTCGAAACTTGGCGTTTACAGAGGATTTATTGATACCCTCGAGAATATGAAACATTTGACTGTACTTCATCAAAAGAACAAACATTTAACTCATCTTGAAGTGAAAAAGTTGCACAGTCAATTTCATGTTCAATTACAAATAAAAAAATCTCTTAGGTTTTATATTAAAAAAACAAAAAAATTACTGACATGAAATATTGTTTGAAAGTACATGTCTTTATAAAAAATAATATGTATACAAACTAGTTTAATTAATTAAATTTACAATGTTTTTTTTATATTATACACATAAAACACATACACCCCACGTATATAAATCCTTTCAGGTAAGAAAATCACACACACAAAAAAAAAAGTTGGCTAACAAATTCAACTTTTTTTTTTTTTTTTTTTTTTTTTTTTTTTTTTTCCCCCGGGAAAAATCCCCAATTTTAAAGGGCCCCTTTTTTAAACCCAAAAAAAAGGAGGGG